GGGGAAGGAAGGTTGCCAAGTCTTCCCAGAAGTTCAGCCCCTGGTTGTCCCGTTTAAATGGTGGAGTCATTGGCTGATGCTATGTCATGCAGCTGGTGTCGGAAGGAGAGTCGGGCTTTCCTGCTGAAGTAAGCACCAGACCCTAGGGAGGGTACCCCTCCCTCAGTACCCCCCTCAGTCATAATGGGGGCCATAACTGGGCTGGGGTCTGGATCTGGAGGGGCAGCTGGATCCAGACCTGAAAGGGAGATTGGAAAAAGAAGAGTTGTGAGTCTGGGTCTCCTCCCTTCCCTCTCCCCAACACTCCCACCCCCAGCAAGGAGGAAAAGTCCAGGGAAAACATCTGGGGATAATGGGAGAGTCTCGGTGGCATCAACAGGGAGAAAAAGGGAGGATGGTGACAGAGTGGGGCTGGCTTCACTGGCCTGAGACCTGTGCAGTTGCAAAGGGCCCCACATTAGAAAGGCCCCCATGCTAGGTGTACTGCTTGGCTGTCATCATCTTGAGATTATTTTTTTAATAATATTTTTTAAAGAGGTTATTATTTTCTTTCAGAGAGAGGGAAAGGGGGGAGAAAGAGAGGGACAGAAACATCCATTGGTTGCCTCTCCCAACACACCCATCAGGGATCTGGCCTGCAACCCAGGCATGTGCCCTGACTAGGAATTGAACTGGCAACACTTTGGGTTTACAGGCCGGTGCTCAATCCACTGAGCCACACCAGTTAGGGCATCAGCCAGGGCATCATCTTGAAATTCTTAATCATTTTTTTACTATGGCATCCCACTTACTCATTTTGTATCGGGCCCTGCAAAGTATTTAGCCAGCTCTATGGGGAGGTGATAGACCCACCTCCCAGTGGAAGGAAGACAGGCTGTCTTTTTCTCTTCACTAGCATAAGAACTTACCTTTCTCCCAGTGCACTTTATCTGTTTTGCCTGACAGCCCCCCCTTTTTCCTCAGTCTCCCCCATACCTGCTCTTCTTTCAGTCCCTCGCTGTCTCCGGCACTTACACCATGGGAAACACCATGCCTTCTTGAGCCCCATCTCAACAATGGAGGAGACCAGGGTGCTGGGAATGGCCAGGAGGGCCTCAGGAGAAGGGGTGTGGTTTCCAAGCCCCCCCACTGTGGGCAAAACTACCACTTAGCTTCAGACCGCCTGGTGATTATAGGCGCCAGGAGATGGAAGGGGGAGAAGAGGGTGGAGGGATACTACTCTGGAACACCTATCCTTTCATGCCCTCTTAATTTGGGGGCACTCTTTTCAGTGCGCAGGCTGGCGCTCAATCCACAGAGCCACACCAGCCAGGGCTGGGGTCATTCTTGCACCTCATGGAACGGTTGGCAGTGCAGAGACAGACAGAGGTGAAGGGACAGACAGGTACAGTGAAAATTCACATCAGCAGTACTGGACAACTTGGTGGCAGCCTACACACTGCTGGGGGTTCGTTCATATTTTCAAAGGAGAGTTTAGAACTCCCAAGATGTAAACTTTTGAGAAGTAGTTTATTTTTTTTAGAACAAGAAACTTTACTAGTCAGGGAAATATTATGTTCTCATTAAATGGTCTGCTAGCTCTTGTAACCCTTTTATGAAGATAATCGTAATTGATTAATTACCCTGTGCTAGGTAGATTCCAGGGACTTGTACCTGATTTCATGTTATCTCGGCAACAACCCTTTGAGACAAGTGTTGTTACTGTCCTGATTCCACAGACAAGGAGCAGGGGCCCTGAGGGATTAGGTGACTTGCCCAGAGTCACACAGGCAGTTGTCAGCAGGGCAGGAACTCCCACACATTCTCAACAGTCCGACCCCAGAGTCCACTCTGCCACCACACTGGGCTTTCCCAGCATGTCCCGGCCAGGCACTGATGCCCTCAGCCAGGTCTGGGGAGGTGGCCAGAGCCCGCCTGGGCTGGGAGCCTCAGGTCCAGAACACCCTGACCAAGGACTGTGAATGCCCTCTAGTAGAGCTGTGCACTATTATTCCCTGAGGGTGCACTGATGTGAGTGAGAAAGTTGGGAAGCACTGCTGACTACATTGCCTTAGACAGAAATTGTTGTTGTCGTTGTTGTGTTTTAAGATTTTATTTGTTTATTTTCAGGGAGAGGAGAAGGGAAGGAGAAAGAGTGGGAGAGAAACATCCATGTGTGATTGCCTCTGGTTCTCCCCTAACTGGGGTCCTGGCCCTAACCCCAGGCATGTGCCCTGACAGGGAATTGAACCAATCACCTTTTGGTTCGCGGGCCAGCGCTCAAGTCACTGAGCCATACCAGTAAAAATTTACACATAATTTAAGGCACACATCCTAGTGTACAATGCTATGAGTTTTGACAAGTGTATATACCCATGTGATCACCACCCTAGTCAAGATATAGGACATTTCCATCACCAGGTCCCCGTATGTGCCCCTTCACAGTCAATCTCTTCCCCACTCCCTGCCACAGGCAACTACTGATCGGATCTCCACCACTCTAGAGTGGTTTTCCCTGTTTCAGAACTTAATATAAATGAAACCATATAGTATTACTCTTTTGTAATACTTTCAGCATAATGGTTTTTAAATTCAGCATAATGGCTTTTAAATTCACCCATGTTGCATGTATTAACAGGGTTTTTTTTTTTTTTTGGATTAATGGCTTTATTAAGAGATAATTCACACATCATAAAATTCACACTTTTAACCTTTTGTCCAACATCTTTACAAGGCTGTGGTGGCAGCAGCTGCTCTGGAGTGTCCCTATAGTGCTAACAAGGACAAGGAGAAGAAAGATGCCTGACAGTCAGCCAAGAAAGACAAAGACCCGGTGAACAAATCTGGGGGCAAGGCCAAAAAGAAGTGGTCCAAAGGCAAAGCTGAGGACAAACTCAATAACCTAGTCTTATTTAACAAAGCAGCATATGGCAAACTCAGTAAGGAATTTCCCAACTACTAACATAAGTTTATAAGCCCAGCTGTTGTCTCAGAGACTGAAGACCCACCGTTCCCTGGCCATGGCAGCCCCTCAGGAGCTTCTTTGTAAAGGACTTATTCAACCAGTTTCAGAGCACAGAGCTCAAGTAATTTATACCAAGAACACCAAGGGTGGGGAGGTCCCAGATGCTGATGAAGATGTATTAACAACACATCCCACCAGCCAGCTGTACATTTTGAAAAATAAAACTTCATTAAATAAAAAGTTCACCATTTTAAAGTATACAATTCAATGGTTTTTACTGTATTCACAGAGCTGTGTAACCATCACAACCAATTCATAATATATTCAGACCCAAAAGAAAGTCCGTACCCATTACCAGTCCCTCCCTTGTTCTCCTCTGCTATTGGCAACCACTAATCTACTTTCTGTCTCTATGGATTTACTTATTCTGGACATTTCATATAAACGGAATCATAGAGAATGTGGTCCTTTGTGTCTGGCTTCTCTTTAATTTAGCATGTTTTCAAGGTTCATCCACATTTCAGCTTAGCAGTACATCATTCTTTTTTATGGCTGAATAATATTATGTTGTTGAGATTAAACTGCATTTTGTGCATCTATTCATCAGCTGATAGACATTTGGATGTTTCTACTTTTAGGCTAATTGAATAATGCTACTATGGACATTCCTGTACAAGTTTTTGAATGGACATGTTTTCAATTCTCTTGGGTATGTACCTAGAAGTGGAATTAGTGGGCCATATGGTAACTCTATGCTTAACATTTTAAGGAACTGTTTTCCAAGATGACTGTACTATTTTATACTTTATTCACTTTTATTGTTGGGTAATAAAGCCTATATACCACAAATTAATCAAAATAAAAAACTTCTCCTCAAAAAGCACCATTATTTTAAAAGGACAAACCACATTCTGGAAGAAAATATTTGCAATACATATATCTGATAAAGGAATTGTATCCAAATATATACATAAGGAACACTTACAACTCAATAAGACAAATAACATGGTTTTTAAAAACTTTAGCAAAACATTTGAACACTTTACGAAAGATCTACAAATGGCTAATAAGCACAAGAAACATGCTCAACATCATCAATAATCAGTGAAATGCAAATAAAACCACAGTGATGGACGATTTTACTGATTGGAATGGCTAGCACTGTAGAGCTCAAATGACAGTATCAAATGTTGACTACTTGTGGAACAAATGAAAATGAAAGATGAAACAACTGTTTTGTAACAGTTTGGCAGTTTGTTACAAAGATAAAGCACAGTTATTATATGACCCAGCAACTCCAATGCTAGCTATTTACCCCAGAGAAATGAAAACATATAACCACACAAAGACTTATACAGGAATGTTAGAGGAGTTTTACATTCACAATAGACAAAAACTAGAAACAGCCCAAATATCCATCGAAAGAAGAGATAAAGAAATATGCTTTGCTTTTTAAAAAATTACATTGTCCTTTACAACGTGAAAGTGTCCCTGTTTCCCTCTAGACTGTAAGTTTCAGGACCGCAGGTTCCTTGGCTGTCTTGTTCACTACTGCACTCTTCACGTCTGGCACGGAGCAAGTGAGCAATAGCTATTGTATGACAATGCAAGTTTGCGTACGTTCATGAATTTATGGCCACCATCCCTCGGGACTCTCACCGTTCCTGCCACTTAAAAACGCTGGCCAAAACAAGACCGGTGTGGTCCACTGCCTGCTCTGGAAGGGAGCACCCGCAGGTTCCCGGCCACGGAGGCGGGTCTCCATAGGGGCCGGGAAGGGCCCGGGCACCGCGTCCAGGCGGGGAAAGTGCGCGGCGTCCAGCGCCCGCAGGGAGGCAGCAGGGCACAACTGGACCGACGGCGCGGGACCGACAGACGAACTGGCTGACGGAGCTGGCCCCGGGACCACGCAGATCCACTGCGCAGGAGGCGAACCCCGAGCCAAAGGCGGTGCGCTCGGCGGAGGAGCCGGCTGGGCTGCGGGCGGCGGGGGCGGGACGGAACAGACGAGAATCCCGCGGAGGTGAGGCGGGGGGCCGTCCCGCCCCCGAGGGCAGGCCCAGAGCGCCGCTCCGCCCCGGCTCGCTGGGGTGTGGGCTCCAGCTCCGGCTCTTCTGCGATCCCTCTGCGGGGCTCCCCAGCGGCGGAGCTGGCCCGGGCTGCCAGGGTGAGGGGACAGGGCAGGGGGCGCCGCCAAGGACCCGGACCCAGGAAGTCGGGCGGGGTCCGGAATGAGCCGGGGCTGCGGGGCCTCCCGACTCAGCTGCGCGCTCAGATTTTGGGGTTTCCCTCCCAGGCTGGGAGCGCGTAACTTCCTCTTTTCCGCATGGACCACAGTTCCCAGCCGGCCTTGCCTAGTTTGAGTCCCGGTTGTTCCCAGCCCCTTGCGACCCCGGGTCCCCTTTCCTGGGCTTCTGCTCTGCCCCAGTTCAGAGACATCCGGGCCTGGCTGGGTGTTCTTGGCTGCGTGCCCCTGATTAGGGGACGGGAGGCGGGGTTCAGGGGTTCTGGATGAAGGACCGAGGTAGGGGATGGAGGTTAGAGGCAAGTTGGCGGGGCGTTGCTGATGCTGGGGCCATAATCCGAGAGAAAGTGGGAATTAATCAGGAGCTAGGCCCGTGGGTAAGAGGGGGAACTGAGGGCAGTGGAGAAGCGTGGGGGTAGGATAGAGAGCAGAGTTCTACAGGGTAGATCATTTCTCTAAGGCTTTCCCATATTCCTAGGATGATGGCTAACCCAGAAAGCCTCTTCTTTTCTGGGGGCGACCTGGACTCCAGCCAGTTACAGATGGAGCCAGATGAAGTGGATACTCTGAGAGAGGGAGAGGACCCAGGTACACCCTCAGGGAGAGGAGGAGGAGGAGAAGGAGGAGGAGGAGGAGGAGGAGGAGGAGGAGGAGGAGGAGGAGGAGGAGGCGGCCCAGACCTCCTGGAGTCTACACTCTTGCACTTTCTTTCCTTCTAGCTGACCGAATGCATCCCTTCCTGGCCATCTATGACCTTCAGCCTCTGAAAATGCACCCCTTGGTGTTTGCTCCTGGGGTTCCTGTCACAGCCCAGGTGGTGGGCACTGAAAGATATACCAGTGGATCCAAGGTAGCTGGGCTGGCACCAAGGGGCAGGTGTTAAGGGAGGACTGGCTAGAGTCGGGGGCTGTGACCCAACCAGAGAACATCCATTCAGTTCCTCAAACCCCCAGGTGGGAACCTGCACTCTGTATTCTGTCCGCTTGACTCATGGTGACTTTACCTGGACAACCAAGAAGAAGTTTCGTCATTTCCAGGAGCTACACCGGGACCTCTTGAGACACAAAGTCTTGATGAGCCTGCTCCCTCTGGCTCGGTGAGGGAGAATCAGACTGCTTCCTGTGAAAGACAGGTTCAGCTCACCCTGTGGCAACATGAGTTGTTACTGCCCCAGCCCCCGTCAGGTCTTCTGCCTGTCTTATCCCTGGCTCCAACCTTTCCTCCTCGAGGTACTTTCCTCCCACAACTCTGTCTGCTGGGCTCCCTCCTCTGGTCCTGGTTACCAGGAAACCTTCCCTGCTTAGCTCTCTCTGTCCATGGTTCTGTGCCAGTATCCTAGCCAGGTTGGGTGCCCAAAATGCCCTTGGTAGCCTCCCCCATGTCTTGTCTCTGTTCTTGGCATAGGGGGCCTTCCTTCTGCCAGCCTCCAGGTCTCCTCCCTTTCTCCAAGGCCCCATCTCCAGTGCTTCAGGAATCCAGGCCCTGAGCTGCCCAGCTCTTTCTTGACCCTCACCCCTTCCTTTCCACAGCTTTGCTGTTCCCTATTCTCCGGCCCCAGAGGAAGCTGACAGAGAGATGCCCTCTCTACCTCGAGCAGGTCCTGAGGGCTCCACCAGACATGCATCCAGCAAACAGGTGTGACCTGACACCTTCGGGGAGGTGTTGGTGTACAAATGGTTCTGGTCCTATCCGTCTCTATCTCCCATTTCTACTTCAGAAATACTTGGAGAATTACCTCAACCGCCTCCTGACCATGTCTTTCTACCGCAACTACCGTGCCATGGTAAGATTCAGGGGCTGGTTACCCGGGTCTCCTTAGGTGGAGCAGGATAATGAGACCCCCAAGGAGCAGAGGACTGGGGTCAATAGGGTCTGAGGGGCTGAAAGCTAGAGTCTGTCCTCTGAGCCTTTGTTTTCTTCTGCAGACAGAGTTCCTGGAAGTCAGTCAGCTGTCCTTTATCCCAGACCTTGGATCCAAAGGACTGTAAGTGTCTGACACTCCTCACCTAGCTGCCTGTAAACTTCTGAATCTCTCCCTGCTGGAGGATGGGGAGTACAGTGAAGAGTGGGCTAAGGGATCTGGATTCCCCATCCAGCATCTGTTCCTGATTTTTCCCACAGGGAAGGGGTGATCCGGAAGCGCTCTGGTGGCCACCGTGTTCCTGGCCTTACCTGCTGTGGCCGAGACCAAGTTTGCTATCGCTGGTCTAAGAGGTAAGGTCTGGAGTCAGGCAGCTGGGCTTTGAGTCGGGGTAGAAGGAGATCCCAAGGGTAGGGAGGAACAGATGGAGACCTTCTGCTCCAGGTGGCTGGTGGTGAAGGACTCCTTCCTGCTGTACATGTGCCTCGAGACCGGTGCCATCTCCTTTGTTCAGCTCTTTGACCCTGGCTTTGAGGTGCAGGTGGGGAAAAGGAGCACAGAGACGCGGTACGGCGTCCGGATCGACACCTCCCACAGGTAAGACCTCCCTTATGTGACAGACACCTGGGTAGTACATTGCCAGCCTCAGGCCCTGAGGGGAGTTTTGTGGAAGAACTCATGGAAGGAGGGAAGGCATTTCCATGATTTGGCCATTATTTGAAATTGGCCATGATTTGGAACCAGGGAGCTATTCTCACCAGATGCTTGGGACTGCTCTTAGGGTCCAGGCCCAGAGAAAGGGGCTGAGTAGAAGCATGGGGGAGGGACCCTTGATGGAAAAGAAATGCACTCCATTCATTCATTTATTCATTTAACAAACCTGAGTGCCTGCCACAACACTAGGTGAGAAGAACCTGGATGTGAAAAAGGCAGATACGTACCCTATGGAGTCGTGATGTAGGGACTAAGGGAGGAAGTGGGAAGGAGGTGATAGCTAAAGTGGGGAGGCTTCTGGGCCAGAGGTACCATATGTGAGGCCTGTGGTCCATTTCATCATGCTGTCTAGGTCGCTGATTCTCAAGTGCAGCAGCTACCGGCAGGCAAGGTGGTGGGGCCAGGAAATCACTGAGTTGGCCCAGGGCCCAGGCAGAGATTTCCTGCAGCTGCACCGGCATGACAGCTATGCCCCGCCCCGGCCTGGGACTTTGGCACGGTGGTAAGACACTGGCGTCCCTTCTGAGCTTGTCCACGGCCTTCTCGACCCCCTTGGTGTTTACTGAGTCTTTGATTGTCTTTTATCTCCCTTGACCTCAATACCCTTCCCCTTTGATTTCTCGAATCTCCCTGACCCCCTGGCCTCTTTTACCACACTGTTCTCTCTGATTCTTCTCTGATGTTTCTCACTCTCAAACTTGATAATCTGCTCTGATTCCTGAATAATCTGACCTCCTGTGATCTTTTGAACCTACTTTTACCACACTGACCAGACTTTGTGTTCTCTACGACCTCCTCAAATCTCTCCAATTTGTCCATTTCATTTAATAAGCATTTTCTAAGCATGATTCTATGCCATATCCAGTGGCAGGAGTAAGACACAGTCCAGTAAATGATTCAGTCATGAAACAATGGGAGCACGCCATGCTGGTGGTAGATACAGGTACAAGCACAGAGGAGCGGCATCTGCCGCACTGTGGGAATGTCAGGACTGGGCTTCCAGAAGACAAGATAAAGAAAATGGAAAAGGGCAGTCCATGCAGAGAAGCTAGAAATATAGCCTGCTGTGTTTGGGAACCACAGGTCTGTCTGTTGTTGCAGAGTGAGGAGTGACCAGAGAAGAGTCTGGGAATCGGCAGCCCCTCATATGAAGCCGAGGAGGTTGACTTTTATGATAGGCAGGGGGGAGTCATGGAAGGTGATGCTGAGATGTTTTTAACATAATAATAATAGCTAATACGTACTTAAGTAGCACTTGCTATGTGCCAGAACTATTCTTATTGTTTTATATATATTAACTTATTGAATCTTCCCAACAACCCTACAAGGCTGGCATGGTTATCCCCATTTTACAGGTGAGGAAACAGAGGCAAGGAGGAGTTAAGTCACTTGCCCAGGGTCACATAACTTGTAAACAGCGGAAGCAGGATGCAAACCCAGGCAGTCTGGATTAAGACCCTGCTCTTAACCATCATCCTAGAATGTTATTAAAAAGTCAAAAAACATGGAAACAAAGTCCTATTCGTTGCACAATCCTTCATTCCCTTTATTCCCAGCCTTTACTTCTTCCCTGTAGTCCCTCCCAACAATCCGTTTTCTCACCTCAGAAGTAACCTTGGCAGTAGTTGGAAATTTATCCTCCCAGATTTTTTCCAGCCTATGTGTTACTTTTTGTTTTAATGTAAATGAGGTCCTGTGCCCTTCTGTAGCATATTTTTCACTTAATACGTGTATTAGAGATTAGGCATGTAAGTTACTTCCCATTTTTTACTTTTTCCCCCCATTTTTCACTCTTGTTTTTTTGAAGATTTTATTTATTTATTTTCAGAGAGAGGGTAAGGGAGAAAGAAGGAGAGAAAGGAAAACATCAATGTGCAAGAGAAACATTAATTGGCTGCCTCTCACATGCCCCCATCTGGGGCCTTGGCCCACAACCCAGGCATGTGCCCTGACGGGATGGAACTGGAGATCTTTCAGTTCACAGGCTGGCACTCAATCCACTGAGCCACACCAGCCAGGGCCTGTTTTTCACTCTTATAAACAATGCTGTAATGAACATAATCTTTGCCTAAGCACTTAATAGGATATATTCCTAGGAGTGGAATTACTATGTGTATTTAATGGTATTAAAGGATATGTACATTTAATATTCTGATTGATACTGCCAAATTGTCATCTGAAAGGCTTATAAACAACGTACTCATAGTCTATGAGAATACCCACTTCCTGTTATGCTAGCATTAAATGTTACCGATTTAAATTTTTGCCAATCCAGTGAAAGTTATTTAATTTTACATCAGTTTTCTTGTTTACTAGTGAAATTGAACATCTTTCCTTATGATTGACCATTTTCATTTCCTCTGTGAACTGTTAGTTCTTTTTTTTTTAAACTAATTTTAACCTGTTCGATTTCTTTTTTTTTTTTTAAGGACTTTCTTTTTTTTTAAAGATTTTATTTATTTATTTTTAGAGGGGAAGGAGAGAGGGAGAGAAACATCAATGTATGGTTGCCTTTCATGCATCCCCTGCTGGGAACTGGCCTGCAGGGAACCAGCATGCAACCCAGGCATGTGCCCTGACTGGGAATTGAACTGCGATCCTCTGGTTCGCAGACCTGTGCTTGAACTGTTAGTTCTTATTCTCTGTTCACTTTTCGGTTGGTTTATATGATGTGTTGGAAGTCTTTACATGTGATGTATTAATCTTCCCAGTCTTTAGTCATTTTCTTTAGTTTGTAGTCTTTTCTAATTTTTAATTTTATTTAGCTCATACTAGCAAATTTACCCCACTTTGATACATTTTATACCATCTGACTTCTCTGGTCACTCTTGAGCTTTGACCCTGCTGTCACCTCTGACCCACGACTATCCTCTGGTCTTCACTCTCCAGAGCTTTCTGGCTTCTGACTTCCCTGACCTCCTTGGCTTGGCCTCCCCCCAGGTTTGTGAATGGGGCAGGTTACTTCGCTGCTGTGGCAGATGCCATCCTACGAGCTCAAGAGGAGATTTTCATCACAGACTGGTGGTGAGTGGGGGGAAAAGCCCAAGCAAGAAGGGATGGGAAGGGCCTATGGCACATCAATTTATGGGTCACAGGAGGGAGTCAAGAGGGAGGAGTGGCTAGTTGTCTGGGGCTTAGCTTATCCTCCTCACCCACCAAATCCCAGGTTGAGTCCTGAGATTTACCTGAAGCGTCCAGCTTATTCAGATGACTGGAGATTGGACATTATGCTCAAAAGGAAGGCGGTGAGGAGAGTGGTCAGGCTGGAAGGGAGGTGGGGTGGGGATAGCTTGTGGGTGGAGGTTGGTTAGAAGGGACCAAATCATGGAGGAACATAGGAATCTGAGGCTTCGGTGGGAGGAAACGTGCCCATCCTGCTTCAGTGTCCAGCAAAGCATCACTTCCTCCTCTTCCCTAAGGAGAACTGACACCTCCCTCTTTATGCTCCTCTTCTACCTGGTATGGACTTCCCTCCTGGTACCCATTGCACTTTATAGTGTTACCTGGGTGTGTAATGTCTATTTCTCACTGGATTGGTTAATATCACTAGTTCCAGGACAAGGCACAGTGCCTGCCATGTTGGAGGCATCCACAGATGTTGATGGATGGGAGGAAAGATAAGTGGATGATAGAGAGTGGATAGGTGAAGGGATGGGTAAATAATGGAGAGGGAGATATATGGAAGGATATGAGTTTGGAAAGGTGGATTAACAGGAGGGTGGGTGGGTAGTTGGATAGGCAGTAGGTAAGGGGATGAGTAAATGGGAAGATGGATGGATAGATAATGGTAGGTAATTGGGTAGATACGTAGGTGTATGAATGAGTGAGTGGATTGCTCATCCATTGCTAAGTGACAAAACACAATGCAGGGTGTAAGTGGCAGAGCATCGAGTCTCTAGGCTGGGTGGAGGGACATCCAGGAATCCTGAGCAAGGGGAAGGGTTTGACAAGATAGAAAGGGGACATTCTGAGAGAGGCATTAGGATCTGATACCCTGCACACCGCCAGGAGGAGGGTGTCCGTGTGTCTGTACTGCTGTTTAAGGAAGTGGAGTTGGCCTTGAGCATCAACAGTGGCTATAGCAAGAGGGCACTGATGCTGCTGCACCCCAATATAAAGGTAACTCATGCCTCAGAGACCCCTCCTACGCTACAGCCTCCCTCACCACACTTCCCCATCTTCTTCACCATCCCTTTCCTTAAACATCTTATCATTCTAACTTTCCATCTTCCTACCAACATCACCTCTTGTCTATCTCTTACCAGAGCCCACCCTCATGACCTCTTCCATGCTTGCTCCAGGTGATGCGCCACCCAGACAATGTGACACTGTGGGCCCATCATGAGAAGCTCCTGGTGGTGGACCAAGTAGTAGCCTTTGTGGGAGGGCTGGATCTTGCCTATGGCCGTTGGGATGATACGCACTACCGACTGACTGACCTTGGAGACTCCGCTGTTTCAGCTGCCCCAGAGGTAACCCCCCAAGGGCTTGCTGAACTCTGCCAAACTCAGCTAACTGAAATTCATAGCCCTTCCCAGCTCTCCTTTCCCTTCCAGTCATTCCAAGTACTATCCACACTCAGTATTCCTTGGCCCTCCTGGAACCACTTTGAAGATATAATGACCCAGTCCCTTTCCCATTTCCACTAACCACACTCTCCCCATATACCAGTTTCTCTAAGAAGTGCAGCTGAAGGGGAGGGCTGGGAAATCAGACTGTTTCATTCTTACTCTCTGTGTCTCTGTCTCTCTGTCTCTCTGTCTCACGTCCCTTCAGTGTTCCTATCTTCTGTTTGGCCCTGGCTCTGTATGGCCCCCATGACCTCCCCTTGCCCACGGCTTGGGTATGTTCCCCTCACAGCCTCCCACCCCGTGCTCAGACTCTCCAGCCGTCCCAGACCACCCTCACAGCCAGTTCTGGCTGGGCAAGGACTACAGCAATCTTAACACTAAGGACTGGGTGCAGCTGGACCGGCCTTTTGAGGGTGAGGATCCCCAAGGGCTCTGAGCAGGGGAAAAAAGTCAGAGCTGGGACTGAGAAAGGGGCAAGCTGGGTCAAGGATAATGCAGACTTCCCTTTGGTCAGCTCCTCCTCCCTGCCTCATGTGTCCCCAAGACACCATCCCTGACCTCTCTTCTGACTCTTCTGGGACCCCCAGATTTCATTGACAGAAAGACCACACCCCGCATGCCATGGCGGGATGTTGGGGTGGTTGTCCATGGCCCACCTGCCCGGGACCTGGCCCGACACTTCATCCAGCGCTGGAACTTTACCAAGGTGCTCACTCCCTCCTGCTGGTGCTCCAGATTGGGAGGGAACCAGGCTCAGCTTGCCACCTCCCATTGACTCTGCTGGTCCTCTACCTCAGACTACCAAGGCCAAGTACAAGACACCCATGTACCCTTACCTGTTGCCCAAGTCCACCAGCACTGCAAACCAGCTCCCCTTCACACTCCCAGGGGGGCAGTGCACCACTGTGCAGGTGAGACCCCAACTTCAGCCTGCCCCCAGTCCTTCCTCCCTTTAGTTCACTCTTCCTGACCTTAGAGCCCTCCAGACTCCTGCCCTCCTGGGGTCAGGAGCCACATCACATTTACTGTTCCCCCAGGTCTTGCGGTCAGTGGACCGCTGGTCAGCAGGGACTTCGGAGAACTCCATCCTCAATGCCTACCTGCACACCATCAGGGAGAGCCAGCACTTCCTCTACATTGAGGTCTGACCAGGGGGAGGAGGGAAGAAAATGGAGGAGATGTTCCAGGAGGGAGACTTAGGATGTCAGCAGGATCACTGCTGTGGGCTGGTGTGGCTGGGCCCGGAGAAGAGCAGAAGCCTGGGCTGGGGACCTAGACTGGAAATGAGGATGGCAGCTGAGAGCTGAGGGCAGGGGCAGGGACCTGGTGCTGATGCCTCGCTTTGGTCCCTGCCCCAGAATCAGTTCTTCATTAGCTGCTCAGATGGACGGACAGTTCTGAACAAGGTGGGAGATGAGATTGTGGACAGAATCCTGAAGGCCCACAAGTAAGGTGGATTGGCAGGAGGCGGGAGATTGTGGGTATGATTTAAACCCACCTGGGGGGGTGGGGCTTTGGGGAGAAATCACCCCTCTGACTCTACCCCTTACCCAGACAGGGGCAGTGCTTCCGAGTCTACGTGCTTCTGCCCCTGCTCCCAGGTTTTGAGGGTGACATCTCCACAGGGGGTGGTAACTCAATCCAAGCCATTCTGCACTTCACCTACAGGTAACTTATAGGGTCTCCATGGCCCCATTCACCCATGCCTCCCTCCTGGTTCTATTCCAACCCCTTCCCACTAGACTTTTGAGATCTGCCTCTCTCCTGGCATCTGTCACCCCTTCCTCCAGCCTTCGTTTCTCTCACCCATATTTTTTTCCCTCAGGACCCTGTGTCGTGGGGAACATTCAATTCTACATCGCCTTAAAGCAGCCAGTGAGTTCTGGGGTCTGGGGGCTCAAGCCCTGGACCCCTGGGGAAGGGGAGATCAGGGACCTGGAGACCCAGGTGAACAGAAGGAGTCTATCATACCTGCGTGCTTCTGGGGCTAATGCCCTGAGGCCACAGGTGGTCTGTCAGCAACGGAGAAAGAAGTACATAGACCAGGCTGTAAAGGGCTTCTGAAGTGAGGAGGTGGGTGGGACAGGGCTCCCTCTGCGCTGCGGGGCACCTCTCACCTTAATCCCCCTCCCCATCTCTTTTGCTTACAGTGGGTACAGTATGGCGGGACTATATGTCTATCTGTGGACTCCGTACCCACGGAGAGCTGTGTGAGCACCCAGTCTCAGAGCTCATCTATATCCACAGCAAGATGCTCATTGCAGATGACCGGACGGTCATCATCGGTCAGTGCTGGATCTGGGTCCCTGGCAGCAAGAGCAGGGTGGGAGAGGTGGAGCAGGACCCAATCAGGGGCAGGGGGATGACTGCCACTGAGGCCCAGTGGGATGGAGGGATGGAGGCCAAAGAAGGTGTGTTGCTCACAGGCATGTGCTCTGGTAGAGGTGATGGGGTGGAAGGGTCCCCTGGCCTCAGGCAGACACAATATGTTCTGTACCAACCCCAGGCTCTGCAAACATCAACGACCGGAGCCTTCTGGGAAAGCGGGACAGTGAGCTGGCCGTGCTGATTGAGGACACAGAGATGGAGCCATCCCTCATGGATGGCATGGAATATCAGGCGGGCAGGTTTGCCTTGAGTTTGCGGAAACACTGCTTCAGGTAGAGGCCTGGTTGGGTGCTAGATGGTGTGGCGGGAGGTGGAGGGGTCGGGGGTCTGCCTGTTGAGCAGGTGGGAGAATTATTTAGACACAGTGTCGGATTTCTCAATAGGCAGACTACTCAACTTTGAGGTGCCAGCAAGGTAGAGACACCCCAAAATGAGAAAAAATACTTTTAAAATAATTCGATATATTTTTAAAGCATCAAAGTAGTCACCAAAGTAGAGACAAATGAAGGCTCTGTTGGACTCATTGACACTATTTTATTGTTTAGCACTGTATCCATTCTGAATGACCTAGGTAGGCACAGCATAACTTCCCTGGTATTCAGGCTCTCTAAGGATCTTAATCCGGCCCTGCTTGGACCCCTTTCTCCTGTAGCGTGGTTCTAGGGGCAGATGCCCGGCCAGATCTGGATCTCCGAGACCCTGTCTGTGATGACTTCTTTCAGTTGTGGCACGATATAGCTGAGAGCAATGCTAATATCTATGAGCAGGTAGGCATTGAGGGGAGTGGGCGGAGGGCATTTCATGGATTATCCTGTTCATGGCGGGATGGAGAGAAGCCACACCACACCGCTATCCCCAGAAGGGGCATGGGAGTCTGGGGTCATATCATGGGATTCAGTGGCTCAGGGTTGGTGTGCCAGGAGATGGTGTGAGGATGGGGGCGTTCAGCTCAGCTGGGTTGGGCTCTTGGCAAGGTCTCCCCAAATCTTATTGGCTTCCATGCCTCCTCCCCCCCAGATCTTCCGCTGCCTGCCATCCAATGCCATTCGTTCTCTGCGGGCACTCCGGGAATATGTGACTGTGGAGCCCCTAGCCAGGGTCAGCCCTCCCTTGGCCCGGTCTGAGCTCACCCAGGTCCAGGGCCATCTGGTACACTTTCCCCTCAAGTTCCTGGAGGATGAGTCTTTGTTGCCCCCGCTGGGTAGCAAGGAGGGCATGATACCCCTAGAAGTATGGACATAGCTGCACCTCCAGCCAGAAGAGGTCCCTAGCTGCTGGGCTCAAAGTCTGGCTCCCCGCCCCCTGACCTTGAGGACTGAGGGCAACGCCTTTTGAGACCTGTGGGAGGCAGCATCTCTGAAGGGAATGAGAGAAGTGACAGAGGACCCTTTCATGAGAAGCAGCCAAAGAGGACACTCCCACCCCTGGGCTGGTGAGACAGGAGGGTGTCCCAGAGAAGTTCATCCTCCCTGCTGCCCAATTCAAACCACTGCTACAGAGGAGAAGCAAACCTCCTGCCAGGAAGCCTGGGGCAAGACTTCCCATCCTTCCCTTCCTCTGCCCCAGGGCCTCTTCCAGCCTGTTGCTGCAAGGTGGAGGGAAGGATGAAGCCCCCCCTGGCTTCAGCCCTCACAGAGAGGAGGGATAGAGGGTGCACACTGAATCCCTCCACCAACCTGCTGACAGACACTAACTTTATATCAGTTTAATAAGCGTTTCATAAATAAAACAGTAGAAAACATCCATGCCTCTTCCTCAAAATGAGTATTTGTCTCAGCCACCCCCCACCCACCTGCCTACACATAGCACTAGGCTTCTTCACCTTGTTGCCACCCCACCCCTTTCTTCCTGCCATCTCCATCTCCACGGTACTTGTCTGCGGCTTTAGGAGCTCCATCACCTAGCTGCTGGGAGGAGAAGTTCACACAATACTGCCCGGGTAGAAGGAAACCGGGACACCTGGAGAACAGGGGGCTGATGTTGCAGCTGCAGGTGAGGGCGGTGCATAGAGAAGATCCTGGAGGAGCTGCCTTCTGTTCCTCAAGTGACAGTACAGGGAGAGGCTCAGGGAAGCCCCTTGTAAAGCGGCTAAGGGCATAGATTTAAAGTCAGGAAGAACAGGGCCCATATCCTGGAGTTATCACTTAACAGCCAAGGTGCCTTCTCAAGTCATCACTTCTGGGCCTGTGATCCCAACTGGGAAATGGGAATGATACATAACTGGCTTGCCGTAAGATTCAGTCATTGACTTAAATATTTACTGAGCACCTGCAATTTGCCAGACACTGTTCTAGACTCATAGAAGTGAGTACAATGAAATCCCCACCCTCATGGGGCCCCCTTAGGCACACATGTCCTGAAGCCTCACTGTCCAGTACAGTAGCCACTAGCCACATTTGGCTATTTATCTTTAAATTAATTAAAACTAGAATAATTAAAGATTTTATGTATCATTTACACTAGCCACATTTCAAGTGTTCGCTTGTTGCTAATGGCTAGCATATTGGACCGTGCAGGTATAGAGAAATCATATTCTTTGGGTGAACAAAGTTCTGTTGGATGGTGCTGCTCCAGAGGAGGGGAAGAGAGAAAATAAAGGCTATAGTCCACAGAGAGTATATAGCATACACCAGATCGAGAACGGTTATCTCCTAGGGTGGGTGGAGGAAAAGGGATAACAGGTATAGTGTACAGAGAGCACTTTAAGTTAATCAGTGACTTGTATTTCTTAAGCTGAGTGGTAGGTATATGAACTTTTATTATGTATAATCCTATCTTTTTATATATCTGAAGTATTTTGCAATTAGAAAAAGCTTAGCACCTGTCCTGGCTCTTGCCCTTCATTCCCCCAAGCCCCATTCCACAGTCTCTAATTGACCCCAGGGGAGTAGAGTGAGGAGTTTAGGAAGCTTTTCTGGAAGAGGGGTATGCTGGTAGGTGATGTAGAGAGAGGAAATGCTGTTGTCTTGTTCCCATCCTTTCAAGCCCAGTCCTTCCTTCCTCTGAAGAAGCTATTTCCATACATGAAATCCCCCCTCCCACAATTAGCGGTCCCCTGGTACTAATTGGCATTCTGCTAATTAGCCTCATTTTCAGCACTAAGTGCCTCTTTCCCTAGGGTACCATTACCTCGTTAACTGTGGAGTGGGGTGGAGGCAGCGCTGCTGGGGCTGGACCAGGGGCTGGGGCTGGACCAGGGGCTGGGGCTTGGTGGGCTTCTGTTTCACACTGTCCGTCTATCTTCCCGTCCTTACACACATCAGTCCTGAGTTTTTTAAATGGAGGCCACCCCAGTGCAGGGAAAAGAGTAGTGGCTTGGACTTGGAAGAGTCAGCTCTAGACCAGCAATTTTCAACCTTTTTCATCTCACGGCACACATAAACTAATTAATAAAATTCTGCAGCACACTAAAAAAATATATTTTTTGCCAATGTGACAAAAAAATAGGTATAATTTTGATTCATTCACCCAGACAGGTATTGTTCTATTGGCTGTTGTCATTTTTTAATTTGACAATCTAAGGGTTTTCCCTTAGCGCCCCTGACTAAATAATCAGGTATTGCATGTTGTAAAATTTCTTGTGGCACACCGGTTTAAAATCGCTGCTCTAGACCCAGGTTAAAGAGAGTGAATTCAGCCTCCCAAGGTGGGTGGGAGGCACCGAGGGCGACTGGGCCTGTGTAAAATGTGCATTCGTCGCCCAGAAGCACCACAATTTATCTTATTTTTAATATATTAACTTCATGTCTGAGCTCTCTACGTTTTATTTAAGGATACATACGCACACACACAGAAGTGGCAAAAGTAGGTTAGTGATAACAATAATACAATAATTAATAAATAAATAATACTCCTCGGGTGGGTAGCTCAGTTGGTTTCAGTGTCATCACGACATGCCAAGGCTGTGGGTTTGATCCCTGGTGAGGACACATGCAGAAGTCAAGCAATGAATGCGTGAATGGGTGGAACACCCAATCGATGTTTCTCTCTCTTTCATCCATAAAAGGAAATAATACAAGAATATGCGCTGGCTGGTGTGGCCCAGTGGATTGAGTGTGGCCTGTGAACCAAAGGGTCACTGGTTTGATTTCCAGTCAGAATACATGCCTGGGTTGCAGGCCAGGCCCCCAGAGAGGGCATGTGAGAGGCAACTACACATTGATGTTTCTCTCCCTCTTCCCCTCTGTCTAAAGGTAAACAAAATCTTTAAAAAAAATACAAGAATAAACTTTGTGTTTTATATACTCACAACTGTAAACCCACTTTTGCCAACCCCTGTATATATAAAAGTAGAGAATTAAGATAACGAAGCCTCAAGTATCTGCCTAATCTGTACTCCAACTTTGGTAATTATCAGCAGGGGTCCAATCTTGTTTTCCTCTCCCCCAGATTAACAGCCTCTCGAGGTTTGGATGGCCATTTATCCTATCACCGGGATCTTCATTTGCTCATTCAGCGATTCTGTATCTCTTAATTGCACACTGCCTCTGAGTCAGGCATTAGTAAGTTTATTGAGGACTTAGTATATGTCAAGTGCTTTTCATACTTAAATTTTTTAAATTATTTATTTATTTATTTATCTATCTTTAGAGGGGAAGGAGAGAGGGAGAGAAACATCAGTGTATGGTTGCCTTTCATGCATCCCCTGCTGGGAACTGGCCTGCAACCCAGACATGTGCCCTGACTGGGAATCGAACTGCGATCCTCTGGTTCGCAGGCCTGTGCTCAATCCGCTGAGCTACACCAGCCAGGGCTCATACCTAATTTTATACTACCTTCCTTGTTACTGTCTCTATTTTATTTCTATTTTACAGATGATAGACTTGAGCCTCATAGAAATTTAATGATTGCCAAAGCACTAACTTCAAGTTCTTTGTTTTTTCTTACTATCCCGTGGTCTTGACCTTGAATTACTATATATCACAGTACCTACCCAGACAACAGAGGCCTTCATGCCTTTAATCACTTATGTGTTACAGAACCACTAGTCAGTGCCAGGCCCTGTGCTGAACATAACTGACATAATTCCTGTCTTTAAGGAGAGTCAATAGACATTTACAATTCAATGCGCTAAATGTTACCATGGGTTTTAAGCCAGGCAAAAATAGAAGAGTCAAACTCAATCTTGGTGAATCAAGGAAGTCTTCATGGAGAAGGTTTAGGACAAAACAAGTAGAACAAAACAAAGGGCAGCAGGCATGCTTAGAATATTCCAGGGAGAATAAACAGGAGTGCAAAGGCTAGAGGAGGGTCTACTGAGTTCTGAGAACTAATTTTAATATGGCTAGACTATGTGGGGTTCAATGGTGGAATACTGAAAAACAAGGCAGGAGAAGCAGGCAGAATCTTGAAGTGTCTTTGATGTCACACTTCAAACCCTACTCAAAAGACAGTAGTCAGTGAAGGGTCTTAAATAGGCGAGTGACACCAGATTTGAGTTTTAGAAAAATCGCTATGGGTATAGGGAATTGATTTAAGGGGGTTGGACAAGGAGAGGAAATAGGAGGCTGAAAAGAATAGTGGAGGTGAGTAGGGATTGTGGCTTGCACAAAGACAATGGCAAGGTAAATAGGTGGGCAGGGGAGCAAGACTGGTTGTGCCTCTGAAAGTACTAAGGAGAAGGATCCTGAAGGGAGGGTGTTAGCCCCTTTCCAAGGGCTTTTCATTCAAACTCTCCTAAATGACGTTTTCATTATGGCTGGTGGTGGGGTCTTGCAGAGATAGTATTGTTTTTGGAAGTGATCTTGAAGATCAGCCTTCTCCGTCAACATCACAACAAAAGGCCCAGAGAAGCAAAGCAACTTGCTTAAGGTCACACAGCAAGTCAGTGGCAAAACGTAACTCCTTATCCTTCATCTAGCATTAGCTGGGCTCCAGGGAGGCTAATGGCTGGGGGTGCTGTGCCAACATGGGTAGACCTAAAGTAATCCACGCAAGATGTGACGGGGTTAGATTCCTCCTCCTCTCCACCTCTCCCTGCCATCCTTTCCCCTACACGTGGCTCCAGTGATTAGTCAATGAATAATTGTTGAAACAATTCCTTTGTACAGCAAAAGCGGTTTCAGAGATTAAGGTCTACGGTAACAGTATCTATCTTGAGAACTCAGATCCCCTCCTCATCACTCCCCCCTCCAGCTAGGGAAGGGGTTAAAGGGCACTCCTGAGACGGCCAGTCCCACCCACTGCACTCCCCAACTCCTCCGTGGCTTCTCCAGCCAAGTTCTCACTGAGGCCCCTCCTTAACCACCCCCTCCTTCACTGTTGCCATGGCAATTAGGTGGGTGGACAGCCCATCCTATCTAGAGGCCACCCAACCCTCGCGTGGGGAGTTACCATAACAACCCCCCTAGTACTAGAGGGGGTTGGGTTCCTCCTCCTTCTGCAAATAGAGAGGTGGGTGGTTTGATTGGCAGCTGGGCACACGAAAGAGGAGGTGAAGGGAAGGAAAGGCGTCAAAGGAGAGCCAAGAAAAAACGGGGAAGAGTATAAAATAGGGGAAGGGAAGGAAACGCATGTGCGCACGCGCAACAGCTGGTGGGCGCGCTCCACTGCCTCCTCGGCCGACGCCCACTTCTTTCAAGTCAGGCTCGCGCGGTCTCTCAGTCCTCACGCGCGCCTTTCTTTATCTCTCCTGCGCTTGCGCGCAGGTGTCGGTGCCTAGGGGGAGGGGGAACCCTACGCGTTCGCGTCACATTCTCTCGTCCACCCTCCCGCCGCGCCGCCACTCTGCGCCT